TTGTTATCATGTTTTTCATGCGTGAGCTTTTGGTCCCTTTTATGCCTCGTTACATATGGCCTGTGAACAGGCCCTTCGTTTTCACCTTCAGTCCTTCCCTCCTCGCGATTTTTTCACGCTTTACCCAAACAGAGGGCCTGTTCACAGGCTAGGCTACATACTGCGAAGGGTTAGGTGGGAGGTATGTCTGTTCCTAGATTCAGCTTTGCTCACGCTGTGTTTCCAGTTTCAATAAACCCCAACGTATATCTAACATGGATAAACATAAAATTGCGCGCAGAAAACATCTAACATTAATATGACAAACGAAAAAAAAAAAAACATGAAGGTGCAGAGTGTTGATGATGATGACTCATGTATCCGCTGCTGTTTATTAACCTTCACAGGATTAGCTTCCCATCCCCATTCATCATGGTCATTGTCTGATACGTCGCTTGCTTCTCTGACACCATCCTCTTTAACTGAACCAACGCCAACAACAAAGGCAATAAAATCTTCAGTAATAAAATCTTCACCAGTATCATCAGATGCAGTGACAAGTTACGCCAATATAACCCGATCGAAAACTTCTCATACATCAATAAACCCTCTGCTATCTTCCCAAGCGATCTCCTCAGGTTCAATATCAGCATCTCCTAATCCATTGTTGCTGATGTCCTCGGCAGTGACTAACAGAACTCATGCAGATACTTCAACATCAAGTTATGTATCAACTACCTCTTTGTCAGCAACAAGGATTTCTCCACTGATGTCTCCCTCATACATGTCTTCGTCATCTACTACACATTCTTCGCAAGTCAAGCCAACGCACTCTTCAATTGCCCCCCTGTTACTAACGTCACCAACACGTCAGAGTTCTTCTGCTTCAGTATCTTTATCCGTACCTGCGCCTGATGATTCACCAAATAAATCTTTCCAACCAAAAACACGGCACGAGAAGAAAACACCTTTTCCGTATTGGTCAATTGCTGTATCCGGTATTGGTTGCATCTTTGTCATAATGGCCGCCTATCTTATATGGAAACTAAGGCGCCAAACACATGGGGACACTCAGGGGCCTCTTCCTGACCTCCCCCAAGGGGAAGACAATCCCGTTTATGACGGTATGTCAATGAACATTTAAGAGGGTCCCCACAAGGTTTATTGAGCAAAATGGGGTCAAGTTTCGGGGCGGTTAAAAGTACAGTATCCACGGTATTCGAAATGTCGAAACTAACCACCGAGATCAATGGATGACTGCCGGGATTGCGTAAACTTTTCAGTTGGGGGTTCTCATTTAAGGCCCTTCATATACAGAATTTTGACGGTGTTTGAACAAATTAGATCTCGCTCAAGAAATTCAATTTGGCTTAAGCCCTCGTTTTTTATTGTTGCATTGTTGTCAAAGATGTTGCAAGGGACATGTTATTAAAGATATATTTTGTTTTAATTCCAGGAGATGAAATGCCATTACCACAGTTAACGATCAGTTGAGACAGCCCTTTGGGTGAGGGCACGAAAAGCAGGAAAACTGCCAAAGTTTCAATCTAGTTTTTTTTGTTTTTGTGAGTTAATGATTTATTGTCGTGCGGATTCGTTCAGACTTGATAAAGATGCTTTTCCTGTAAATAGCTGGCACCCCGCCAACTGGTTTCTTCATTGTTACTTTAGTTTAGAGAATTAGTTTAAAGCACATACGAAATTAAATAATAACTAGTTTTTTTTCTATAATTGTCATTATTAATAAAGAAATAAAAACATCCAGTCTTCTAAGTGTTTTGAGTAGAAACCTCAGTTCCCCTAGTGAAGCAGACTACAGATCCCGGGAGGTAAATGTGTTAACTTTTGGTTGAACTTTTGAGTTCTACACCCCTATGTAAACTGGCAAGCAAATGCGGTATTTACTGGCCGTCTTTGCTTTTAATTTCCCCCTAGTTTGCACTATTTTGCACCATATTTACACCGAGTAAATTTGTGTAAATCCAATTTTTCGTGCAGTGTTTGCCGCGGCTTTGTCGTCGTTCATGTATGCGTGATTGAAGTATGAAAACGTGTCAGTTTGGTAGTGTAATGTTCGGAGATTTTGCCTAGGTAGCCTACAGTATTGCTCTCGTATTATTATTTTTTGGGTGGGCACGTGAAAGCTGCTTGTATATTTTCTTATTGCCGAGGTGCCACCTTCGAAGTGAGGAAGACTGGGGGGAGAAAATTTCATTGAGCACTGGATCCTCTAGGAGGTCCAAAAAAAACTATAATACAATCACATCAGGAGCCGATGATTATCATACAATAACGATATATACGAGATATTACAGACCCGAGACCATTTGGGAAATGTTATCACTTCGCCATCCGCCATTCCCCCCTTAACTTAGAATTCAACAGGGCTGTTATGCGCACCAGAAGATGACTGACATTATATGGACGCCAGGGACAACCCTGTGTCGGCCTGGTCCCGCCACAACCATATTGGAAAATCAGAAGACCTTGTAAGCAAGGTCGGTCAGGCGTATTTTCGGTTGTTGTTTCTCTCCGCCGCGTCCGAAAAGTCACCTTTCTGCGTTTTAAGGCCGATGTAAACCTGCAAGTGATACATCAGGGGCACCCAACGACAATTTTCGGGAAAATATCTGTTCGGAAGACGATTTTAGATCTAGAATTTTCGGAACATTTGTTGTAAAATTTCTTGCTTGCCTGCCTCTCCTAGGATTTTCGAACTTCTAAAAAATGGTAAAATTGCCCATTTTCAACGAATTTTTACCCTAAAAAGGTCACCTAGAATTTTCGGGAGCCTTTTTTCGGGCTGAAATTTTCGAACGAGTAAGTTTTGATCCCTATAATTTTCGTATCACTAGACTTTCAGCTAGGAAATCCGAACAGATGAAAAATTTATAGGGGATAAAAATATGCCCATATCCACCGTTTAGTACAGGTAATCACATGATTTCGAGTGCAATTTGGAATAAATAAGCACAAGTAAATTTTTTCAAAGGCTATAACAAAATTGCACGAGCCCGTAGGGCGAGTGCAATTTGTGGTCTTTGAAAAAATTTACAAGTGCTTATTTATTCCAAATTGCACGAGAAAAATCATGTGATTACTTATTAATAATATTCATGAAAAGATTGCGAGATAGCTTTAAAATCTCTTTAATAGAGTCAACCCGCGTAAACTACATGCAAAAATAAATTATTCAAATGCTGCAAATATCATCACACGTGCAGTCAAAACAACATTTTGCTCGATGGTTTTAAAGTTTGCAAGCTGCAGAAACGGGCTGAACAGTTCATGGAATTGTTCAATGTGTTTGAAATAAAGATTCTCGGTTATTACCTCGAGTTTTCCGCTCTTTCAGAGAATTTCTTCTTCCTCCTCTGATACTTGCCGAGCTTTGTTTGGGCGCTTACCACGGCCAGCCAAGCGACGCTGTTTCGCTTTTTCCTCCAACACCTCTTTGGACGAACTAAATTCTCGGTCACGTACAATGGACAGGGTGCAGCCTTTGTTCTTTAAGTGTCTATCAAGCGATGCCTTCATTACTTTAAGGTTTTCTGGTTCATAATCTTCACGTACCTTTTTTGTATTGTTTACTTCGGCGTAGAAATGCTCGAGCAAAGTGTTAAGCTCAGCCGGCTCATAATTTTCTATTTCATCAGTAATTTCCTAACCTACGCACCAATTCTTCCAAAAAGAGAGCCAAAAACCAGTGCTTTTCGCAGTGTTTTCGTTTTTAGAGCGGTTTTTCAGCTCCTCACAGTTGTTTCGGTCGCAAAAGCAAATGTACTGCAAACGCCAACCATTGCGGTTTTTGCTCGAAACTGGTCCGGAGCGGATCCAAATTTTGCGCCATTTAGATGGCGCATTTGATTGGCTCTCAGTGAGTTCCTTTGTTTATTAGCCAATCAGAATGTCACGTTTGTTACTCTTTTCTGCACTCAATTACCTTTTTTCTGCACTCAATTACCTTTTTTCTGCACTGTGTTACCTAAAAACTGCATTCCTCTTAGCCAATCACAATCGAGAAATTTTTTAATGTATATTATTAAATACTAAAACACGTTTAACAATGCTATGTTTAAGTGGTTTTGAACTATATTCTCGTTGGCATGTAGTGCGGCAACGGTCTGATACATGCCGAAATCACACGACCCTCAATTTTGTTCCCGGAGGACGCGATCCTTTTGTACAGCGACGGGGACCAAAAGCCTCCGTTACCCCACCCGCGGTAAGGTAGGCTTTGGGGACGAGATGCCAGGGATCCCTTATGTCGTGCGCAAATCGCGGAATCGGCCCGCCTTTAGCGGACTCTTGCATGGGCACTAGATTGAAATTAGAGCATATCGATTTTTGGGTCAGAAGGGAAATGAAGTAACGTACAGTTGACTCCCGATAACTCGAACCTTCAAGGAAAATCGAAAAAAGTTCGAGTTATCGGGAGTTCGAGTTATAAGGAGCTCGAAGAAAATAGCCGTAAGTAAGGTAAAAAACAGTTTTTACTGTACTGTGAACATTTTAATCACATTTTATTATAGAAATATTGAATGAAAATTGAAAGATACTATTAGATTATAAATCAGAACGTAACGTAACAAAACATAGCCTAAATAGATCATGCGTTCTACTGGTTTGAGAAGTAAAGCTGTTTCACGTCAGGTTTGTGATACCACGTCAATGGGACTTCAAAATCCATTTTTCTGACACCAATACACTGTTTTTCCCGACTTTTGAAGCGCTCAAAACATGGTTCGAGTTATATATCGAGGGTAAAATTTTATAGAAATGATCTGAGGGGAAACAAAAATTACTTCGAGTTAGCGGGAAGTTCGAGTTATCGAGGGTTCGAGTTATCGGGGGTAAAATTACAGTAAATGTGTGAAGGAAATCAAGGGCAAATCGATTTTGGTTCGAGTGAGCGCGAGGTTCCAGTTAGCGAGGGACGAGTTATCGGGAGACAACTGTATTTTGCATGTCACGCGTTCCTCGGATCATCGGGTGATCTCACACCCATAAAGTTTTGAGGAATGGAGAAACGAATGTTTATGTTCGCCGTTTTCCTGTTATGTTCCGTGTTAATAGCTTGTAAGACGTTGCCACCGATTGGTTCCAGAGATTTTCAAAGAAGACAAACTGTTGCTAGACATGGGACCATGAAGGTAAAAACGATACGCTTGAACAAGAAAGTCGTAGATATTCAGTGACTCAACCAGTCTAGTAGACAGAGTACTCGGGGTATTATACCTAGCTCCAGGCCAAGCTAACAGATTATTAAACCAAAAATTTAGGTACGATTTGAAAACAGTTGAAGGTATTCAAAGTGCTAAGTTAATGTATTTAGCCTTTTCAGACCATAGGACACTGAAAATTACTCACAGTTGTCATGAACATGTCTGACTGTAACTGAATCTCGTGCTTTCGGTTTTTAAATAAACACACTGATATAAATAAGTGAAAATGTCGGGAAAGCAGCATGATTTCAAAATTTACTTCTTCAAAGAGTTTTTAAATGAAGTAACAGTACAAATTTATTGCCAAGCTATTATAAAGACGGTTGTGTTACTTGACCAAAGACGCAACAGTCAAAGTTTGACATTTTTTTCTGTATTTATGAAATAAAATACGTACAAAAACTATCCCTGAATTCCTCGCTCTCTAAGCTATGGAAAGTCTAGAAAGGCACGTCGAGATAAGCAGTTAGAACTAACAACTGTACTATCCAATGTCAGATTAAACGCTGCAAGTTCGTAAAATGACTTCCATCAATAATACATTCATACAAGAAAGTCATTATATCCGGTGTCATCAGATCCTTTTTTTTTGTCTGATGCCGCTTCATCGGGAAGCGACCTTTACTCACATGGTTTATAGATCGAAGAGCTATCGGTACCACTGACAGTTGCACTGATACTTCAAATCGGTGTCTTTGTCTCAACTGAAATATCCCAAACTATAGAAGCCCTAGCAAATAATCTAGTAACCATCCAACCCATTTCTAGAACTCAAAGTGTAGATTTTTTAAAAATCGTTTAGAATTGTATCTCGTATCTTGCATGTCCCCTGCACTTCCGCAATTGGCGCGTTCCTTTGGGATGACGTGCATGAATCAGAGGCTGTGGGTGGGACTACTGGAATCCCAGTAATCAGCGTATTTTTATTGCAGGTAAATGATTCGGAGGATTTAAAAGGACTACTCTCTGGTTCAAAGAGGATTAAAAGAACAGCAGACCATCGAGAGCAAGGTAGTCCGGACCACGAATTTAAAATGCCTGTTGAAACTATCGACACATTGCATTTGAGTCGCACTCCTTTTTTTGTTACTCATGCAATAGTCCGAGTAAGGAAATATAGGAAGTACATTACTGAACAACGTTTAGGTAGACGATCAACGTAAAAAGATAGCGCTCACAAGTTGTGGTAAAATTATAAATGCCCGTGGCATTAGTCCTCCGACGACTCTCAGGACTCCTCCCCTCTCTGGACTCTGTGTGTTAAAAGTGTGACAAAGTAAACATACCTCACAAACTTGTCTTATTCAGTTTATTGTTTATGAAGAAAATAAACTCTGCGAAACACTAGCGTAAAAGAGGCTTGTATATCAGGTCTTATCTACCTTTCTCATCTAAGCTTTCTTTTTCTTCAAAGTACGGTAATCTCAGCTCTCTCTCTTAAACTAGATGTTATGATCCTGAGGACTGGATAGCGCCAATTTAGCGCTGCATTCCTCCCGACGATTTCCAGGGAATCTTGATTCAGTTCCGGGTGTCTGGATATCGCTGGAAAAATCTTTCTCGTGATGATATTTGGATACGATATCAGTTGAAACACTCTTTTTCGTTTGGATAGTATCACATTGTTTGGATATCGGTGTTAAACATTCCTTGTTGTGTAGGACATATATGATATCCAGGTCATGCATTAGTGCGGCTTTGGCAGGAATGAAAGTTTGGTCATTGTGAATCAAACATCGACTTGAACATAGCTAGATTCCTGGATCTTCATCATCTCTCTAACAACAGCAAAGGTAACAACCTCAGAGTCATGCCCAGTGTTGCCATCATGGCTCTTCGCACCTTCACCTTCGGTCGACTCAGCAGAGCTTTAGGAGCGACTCTTCCTTTCCATTCAGCAGCAAACGACATAAAGGAAAACAAAATGTTGAGAAACTTAGGTAACGAAAAATTAAAAAGGCAAAACAACGGACTATAAGTAACAAAAATGCTTAAGAATGGCGGAGCTTGAAAAAAGGTGACCAGCCGCCATGCGCGCCCAGCACTTCAATTGGGTGAAAAAGCATGAACATGAACGTGTACTCATAAATCCTTCGTTTGCAGTCGAACCCCGCGTTACGGACACCCGCTTAATACGGCCACCTCGTCATTGCGAGCAGTTTGCTTTGTCCATGGGGTAAGCTCATACATTTTCTCTAAATTTCCACCCAGACAACGGACAGTTGTTTCTTGCCGCCGACATGAACAGATTGTCATAGAAAGATAATCTCGCTAATACGGACACTTCCGCGGTAACAAACCTTTCCATCTTGAATATGGTACTTTGCATAGAACATGAGTTACACGTTTCAACCCCTTATGAGTTTCTGGTAGTATAATAAATATAACAAGGTGATTTTTGACTTAAATAACACGGCCCGCTTTATACGGACACTCTCTATAGCCCCTTCCGCGGTGTGCCCATTAACGTAGTTTGACTGTACTTTTTAGCGACAACGTTTTCTCAATCAGGTATATATTACATGGCTCTCGGGGAAACTGAAAAGCAGCTTCCACATGAGCTTTAACTTTTGACATCTCTCTTAGATAGTAGAGACCTTTTCCCCTTTTTTCCTGGGCTAATACAAACTTGCACAGGAGATCGTCTACAGCAAAATTCGTCCACCAAACAGTCCCATTATGCTCAACATAAACGCAGGTCACTCTTAAATCTCAAGCCTCAATAGAGAGGAGAAGAGTGATGTCACGTTACCATGGTAGCAATCTAATTTAGGTATAAATAAAGTCGATCAGAGTTCCTAAGATAATGTTCACTAGCTAGTATTCAGTATTAATGATATCAACAGATTTAGTTACCAGTAGTTAGTCTTTGCCTCAGTTGTTTCAACCAGCCGTACTAATTGTCATTTGCGTTGTTTCTGTTACAGATGCCCCCGAATTTCTTTTGTACATCATTGGAAATGATATCAAAAAGTTGACATTAGGTGATGCCCCTGTGGAGAGTACTCTTGTGCCAGGGAAGCGGTTCGATGGTTCGCCGTTATTTTTAGATTTTAATTACAAAGAAAACCGCTTGTACTGGGCTACTTCCAAGTCCATTTATCGTTCTTTTCTCAGCGATACGTCTAGTAAGTGAAACGTTACACATAAATAATATATAGATTTAGCCAGGGCTAACAGCGAAGCTCTCTTTAACATTTATGGTTCCTCAAAGAAAATATAAAATCGATGAATACTAAAGACAAGTTGAAAGCAACGAAAACGCTAAAAACAACAACAATAGATCTAATTAGCAAAAAAACAACTTTGCACGTGCAGCACACTTTTTTTCTAATTAGCAAAAAAAACAACTCTGCACGTGCAGCAGTTTTTTTTTTGTACATTTCCTTACCGTTGTTTTACACGACTAACGTGAAACTTCTTTTAGCTTCCTATTTACGCGTTTTATGGAGGAAATGTTTGTGTTCCTGTTCATTCTATTTTTTCACTGCCGCTGCTTTTTCACATTAGTAGCCGCTAGCATTCTTCATTTTCTAACCGCCGCTATATAATTTTCATGTTTTTCTTCCAGCGGCATTAGTCTCCGTTGTTATTTATTTCACGGTCCTGACAAGTGTGACACTTGACATCGGCTTACATGAAGTGTGTGTACGGGTGGGCGGGCGGGCGGACGGGCGTACGCTACGTCATAACCAAATTTTATCGGATGGATAGTTTACCAAATTTTCTTACCCATGGTGCTCCGCTGGCGCGCTTCGCGCGCGAGAGCTCCGCTACTAACTACAATAGTATACAGTGAGCCACAGGAGCCGATGCTTATTGGCAAGTGGCCGGACTTAATGGAGAGGTTGGCCGCTAGCTTTATATAGATTTAGCAAGGGCTAAAAGCGAAGCTCTCGATAATATTTATGGTTTGCAAAATATAAAATCGTGTAATGCTAAAGGTGATGTTACAAGACACAATTCGCAACGACGATTTTTGGCGCAACACAGGGTTGCAACATTGTTGCGACATTGATTCGAGTAGTTGTTCCCTCGCTGCAACGCTGTGTTATGCAATTAATCTAAGTTTAATACTTTAGACAACACGGATACACAAACAATTTCCGCTTTCCATTTTCGTCTTTGTTGACTTTTTAGTTGTCTCTGCTTCACAAGTGGCGGGTGGCTATGCGATTTCCCTACAAAATAACCTCGAGTTGCATTTGGGCTGCTATACCTGTTGATTGAGTTACTTTACATTGGTATGCCTGTGATGCGGACGGACGTACGGTCACTTGATTACCAAAATTTCTCGGTTGGGTAGATTACCACATTTTCTTAGGTATGGGACTGCGCTCGCGCGCGCGTGGAGCTCCGCTATAATTTTACCTTCGAAAAACGATTATTGGGTCACATTTCAAAAAAAATATTAGGGTTTTCAAACCTGCACCGTTTTCTTAAATAAAATGAGTAAGTTCGTACTGGTCACGTGACCAAAACGTGATTTTTAACATTTTGAATTACCATGAAGACAAATTTTGCACTTAAACTTCAAGTAAACTGTTGAAAAGCTGATGTGGTAACGTTAACAGGACATCTGAGCGTAACTATCGAACGTTTAACAAGATACAAACAAGAAGTAGTTTTGACTACCATTTTGGAGGACAAGAGTAAAACTGGTATCCAACATGAAATATTGATCAAAGTGCCATAAAACATCTCTCTTAAATGCGTTTCCTTTGAATGTTCGGGTGTAAGATAATTTTTATGTGTTGTGTCAATTTTTGGCATCAGCAAGATTCCAACGCATTGTTTTTAAAAAGGAAGTATTGGTCACGTGACCTCTTAGTCCAAATGGCCCATTAACTTAGTTTATCATACTCGATAGATCGTTTTCATATGACGTCGCGGCGGCCACATTTGTGTACAAAACAATGAATCGGCGGCCATGTTTTTATACAAAAAAATCCGGTGGGAATTGAACTCTTTTCACAGGTTAAAACTGTCTTTTACTCCAAGCAGTTTGCAAAACTGCTGACCACGTGACTGAAAACGATCTATACGGTTAAGTCTCATGAGAGATGCAACGTCATTCACGAAAATTCAATATAGTTAACATCTACAAAAGGTCTATATTGTGTTTGACCCAAGTTAAGACCAGATACCAAACCGACAAGATAAACATTCAGATAAATTTTAAAAACTGCTCCCAGTCCGGACAGTAACGATGTGCGGGACACTGACCTTGTTCATTAATTACATATTAGACTTTTCCCTATCCACAAGATAATCCACTATTAAAGCCAGTGGATAAGCGTTGAGGAAACAAATTGTTAACTCAGTGGAAAGCCTGGATCACGCAATTGCTTCACATATACTCGGAAGTCCACCGCTGACTACTTTTTGAAGTGGTACCTGCTGCCCTTCGCTAAATTTGATTTCATATTACGTTATCGACCAGGAGCACCCAACGTCAATTTTCTGAAAATATCTGTTCGGAAGACGATTTGAGATCTAGAATTTTGGGAACATTTGTTGTAAAATTTCTTGCTTGCCTGCCTCTCCTAGGATTTTTCGAAAAAGTGGTATAATTGCCCATTTTTCACGGATTTTTACCCTAAAAAGGGGACCTAGAATTTTCGGGAGCCCTTTTTCTGGCTGAAATTTTCGAAAAGGTAAGTTTTTGATCCCTATAATTTTCGGATCACTAGACTTTCAGCTAGGAAATCCGAACAGATGAAAACATTTTAGGGGATAAAAATATGCCTATATCTACCGTTTAAATACTAAAATACGTTCAACAATGCTATGTTTAGTGGTTTGAACTATATTCTCGTTGGGTGCCCTTGATAGACATTCGTCTAAGGCGTAGGCCAACGTCGAACTTTTATTGGGTCGGCCTAAATTAAGTTAAGACGAAATTGTGCGTGACCTCCTTGTCAAGGCCAAGCTGAAACAAACAAAGACGCCAACTTCAAACACACCCTCCATAACAAAAAGGCAACTCCATTAGATGCAAAACCTGGCCGTTCATTAAAGATAGTGTATCATCATGTACATTCGAAAACACTGGCCAAACTCACCTCATCAAGCAGAAGACGATCACATGTACATCTAAAGATCTCATTTACATGCATGATACAATGTCGCAAAAGTAAAAGCACCCCAAACACATCAGCGCAAAATTTAGTTCTCTTATAAGCAAACTTGAAATCCTAGAAAAATCATAAGTCCGCGAAATTTCCACGTACAGATTTATACTTAGACTCTTTTTAAAGCTTAGGAAGTCTACTTTTCTGAGAACAAACGATTCATGGTGCGCCGCTCCGGTCTCCTGAATTATTTTGGTTCTTCAACCCGGTCACAATATATTTTGCGGCTTTATTAGTTTTTCTTAGCGGCATAAACAGGCAGAGTATTTGGATAAATTATTTTGAACTTAATTAGATTGCATTCGCCCACAGCTTTATTATGCTGCCGTCTGGCAGCCTCGCGTCGTCGCGAGGCTGATCGTTGGCAATCGTACAAATTTTTAATTTATTAATTTACTTTGTTGCAAGTACGCGTTTATGGTTTGCTTTGCAGATATACAGACCGTTCACAGAGACCTGCCTCTTGTGCAGGGATTAGCGGTGGACTGGCTTGGCAATAACATATATTGGCTTGACCAGGGTCACATAATGGTTTCCAGGACGGACGGTCGTTTTAAAAAGACTTTGATTAGGATCCAGGCTTTTCACAGGAACCCGCTCGTTCTGGACCCTGAAAAAGGGTAAGATTTACTCGTTGTGAGCAAGTAAAGGGTTGGTCTATTTTACCTGTGAGGCGTCGGGGTGGGGGGTATTTTGCTGGGGGGTCATTTCTAGATAAGGGGACGTTACATGGGGTTCATTTGAATAAATTTTATTAAAGTAGTACAAAGCAGTAATGAGCGTGAATTGAAATTGAACAAGAACGCTCTTAAAAACCTGCGAGTGTCGCTTGCTTAGAGATTAAGAAATAAGACGCTCCTAAAAAGGTCGATTCGACCTTGCTTGGAGATAAAATAGCAAATGAGGAGGCAATTAATTCTTAAGGAGCCTGTGTCCGGGCGTGTAAGCCATAACGACTATGTGGGGAACTGAGAAAAAAAATGCTAGCTAGGCAGGTTACACAGAAAGCATAGACTGTCTTTGGTACTTACAATAATCAGGAACTTCAATGTCTTCAGTTTTAAAACTGGAAAAAGATTATAATGTTACAGTTGGGTGAACTTGAGCCAATTTGCTAACCATTAATTATTATCTGGGTAAACCTCAATATTAACTATGAGATTGCTTGTTAAACGTGATATTTTTATGAAGTTAAATTTTAGATGAGAGAAACACCCTCGGGGGGTACTGCCATATACGGGCTATATAGGTATGTGCCGCTGTGAAGGGTATGGTTTTCAAGCAGTTTACTCTAGGATAGGGTATATAAATCAGAGCGTTTGGGTCTAGAATAGGGTATCATTTTTCAGGAAACTGATCAGTTGGTTGAAGATTTTATTTAGACTAGCGAAACAGCTACTCTAGGATAGGGGGGATTTGGGGAGTTTACTCTAGTATAGGGTAGCAAAATTCAGCTGAACAAGCTCTTGTATAGGTTAAGGGTTCCAGGTTCCCAGCGGCACATCCCCATCCAGAAATTCCTAAAGTACCCCCCTCCCCAGGGAAACACCACACCGTGGACACCTACCCTTCTTCTTCTCTTTTGTTGTTTCCTTGTCATGCCTCGTGTTCTATTGTTAGCCTTCGACATCAAAAGAATACTAAATGATATGACTCCTGGGTTCAAACTTTTCACAATACTAAATAAGCTGAGAAAAACTATTACTAAAAAATGAAAATAATTATAAATCTAAAGTGACGCCAAGGAAACGGGAATTTAAATTCACTTGCTTTCGAACTCTTCGCCTTTGCAACAACGTGGCTTCCTACAGGAAACAGGATTTCCTTTGAATAAGTTTTTCATACCCTTTTTAATCGACGGTCGAGTAGTCTTTTGAAATCGTGTTCGGCGAAACGTGATCAACATAGCACGTCATTTCAGTCATCGCCGAAAACAAACCACATGCACATCACAAGACTCGTTTGCATACAATAAAAGTTTACAGAGCCTGACCATCGTAGTTTTGCTAATCTAAGATTATTCTTCTTTTTTTTCAACCACTGAAGTATTCACTTGTTTCAAAGTAATCAACGCTTTCAAGCGATACGATTCGTGGACAGACCTGTTCCGGAAAAGATCTACATCTTTCGCATTACCTTAATTTCCTGCATGGCTTTCGTCACTCCGAGATACTTATCCCCAGTTTCCACGGCTATGATCTCCCTTTTGGGGAGGACACACGAAAAAAAAAAAAAAAAAAAACGGAAAGAAACGCTTGCATTTTCTGAGGCTCGCCGCGAAAGCAAGCGAGACTAATTTGACAGCCGAAACAGCCCTCTCTCCTCGGCGCTAAGTACTTCTGGACAAATATCCCTAGAGGCGAGTATTGAAGAGAGACTGCTGTTTTTTTTTTCTTTTTTTGGCGCAGGCTATCTCCGAGCATAAGTACCCACAGGCGGCCCAAACTCACGTTAAGAGGGAAGGGTGTAATGTAATCTACATACCATAGGTGACGCGCCGGTGTCGCGTTACAGGCGACCGTTGAAAATATAAGAGACTTTGTATGAAAAAAAAAAATCAGTAAACGACAATCAAACACCAAAATGCCGTGGAATATATTGCAGGTAACTCTGTTTTATTCGTTTCATTTAAGAAAAAGTAAGGTTTAGCGTTATTTAGCGTTCGCAGATCTCGGTAATATATTTCTCATACAAAGTCTCTTATATTTTCAACGGTCGCCTGTAACGCGACACCGGCGCGTCACCTATGGTATGTAGATTACATTACACCCTTCCCTCGTAACGTGAGTTTGGGCCGCCTGTGGCGTAGCAAGCGTTTCTGTGCGGTTTAGGAGCAAAGAATGAGGAACAAGTGTCAGAGACGGCGCGAAAATGGCGCATTTTTTGGTTCTCGTTTAATTTCTCGCGCGATAAAACCGAAAATCCCCTTCCACGGTCTTTTTTTGCTCCGAAACCAAACGGAAACGTTTGCTACGCAGGCTAAGTGCCTGGTAGAGTTACGTAATGGTGTAAAAGTTGATGCGTTCATCACTGGTTCATTCTCATTAACTGATGTCTTGTGGTATCGATATAGGTTTATGTATTGGTTTGGTGTGCTACGGTCGGAGGGCAGGATATATAAACTTCCTATGTATCAAACAGAATACCCGTACGATGCTATTGCAATCGATTTACCAAAACCGTCTCAGTTTGCCATTGATTACTTCGACCGAAAACTGTACTGGACAGGAGGAAATTATCGCCGATCATCAGCGACAGGAATAAAATCTCACAGGCTGGACCTTGATGACACAATCGACGGACAGAGAACCGAGGTCAGTACCACTGGACGAAAAAATGGATTTAATGATATTTGCCTCCGAGAAAAATCTAAGACATTTCAAGGTTAGCCTAGTCCAGGCTCCAAGATGGTGGGGAAAACGGCTCGACAAAAAAACGCGGAAAACCGCGTTAGGACTAAAGAGAAAGGGACACAAGCTCGTTTTTTTGCTGCTTGTGCTCTTTCAGTTTTCGCTCGTCTACACCGACCGAAAGCCTGGCACAGGCTATATTGAAAGGTTAGTTGTAGAAATTAAATGAAGTCGACGAGCGGTACAGCCCAAAGTTTGAAAAAATTGTAAAAACGTCGTGCTGAAGAAGGAGCTTTACTGAAAAAGTTAAATTAAAAAACTTCGATGGAAAGGTCCATTGGGTAGGCTGAAAGAACGTATACCATCTCACAGGCAAGTTCCATTCGTCCCCACCCCTCGCTAAAATTCAAGTTGACGGCCCAGATATCGCTGTGAAGCTTGAAAC